TGAACATTAGTTGCTTTCGATGGAAGAGGAGAGTTTCTTAAATAGCTGCTAATAATGTACTCCCTTCCGACTTCCATGCCAGTTTTTCGTGGACCACATTTAAGCTGAAGAGTTCTTGATCCAGCAGCTGACATCCGCTTAGGAAGCGCGGCAGTAATTAATAGGTGATAAGGTGAAATCAAACAGTTGATGTTGACTTGTGGCAATTAAGATTGCAGCTAGAGAGGAGATGCTTATTCTTGGGAGAGATGAGAGAGAGGTAAAGTGGGGGCAGATGAGTTGAGTTGCCATCTCTATTCTAAGCACTACTAAAATGAAGTTATTCAGAGATGATTAGTAGTGCTTTGTAACTGCTTCTGCATATTTATTTATTTATTTACTGTTGTCCATGAGAAATAGCAATCAAAACTACTTCTTGTGAGACTGAGAAAACTTGGATCTTGAACATCTTAGTTTTAGTATAAGCCTTGTGCGTGCTTTGAGGCTCTAAGTGTGATACTGTTCTAGTTCGCTATGGAAGAAACTGTTCTGTTGTTGTGGTATTGCAAGTAGAATACAACTTTTGTCCAAAGCGTAAGTGTGATACTGTTCTAGTTCGCTATCGAAGAAACTGTTCTGTTGTGGTATTGCAAGTAGAAGACAACTTTTGTCCAAAGCAACTTACCATGAAAGATGAGGTGAGCTGTGTGTCTAAAAACGTAACCATAGAATCATAGAATGGTTTAGGTTGGAAGGGACCTTGAAGATCATCAAATTCCAGCCTCATGGCCATAGGCAGGGACACCTCCCACCAGACCAGGCCCAAGCCCTGTCCAACGTGACCTTGAACACCTCCAGGGATGGAGCATCCACAACTTCTCTGAGCAACCTGGGCCAGTGCCTCACAACCCTCAAAGTCAACAATTTCTTCTTAATATCTCGTCTAAATTTCCCCTCTTCCAGTTTGAAGCCATTCCCCCTCGCCCTATCACTACATGCCCTTGTAAAAAGTCCTTCCCCAGTTCTCCTGGAGCCCCTTTAGGTACTGGAAGGCTGCAATAAGGTCTCCCTGGAGCCTTCTCTTCTCCAGGCTGAACACCCCAACTCTCTCAGCCTCTCCTCATAGGACAGGTGCTCCAGCCCTCAGACAATCTCCATGGCTTCCTCTGGCCCTGCTCCAACAGGTCCATGTCTTTCCTTTGTTGGGGGTCCATATATGTTTTGCAATTCACTATGGACTTGCCTCTTCCTGCAGCGTGCTACAGCTGGATGACGCTGGTCATCTGACCTGTATCCCAGTGAGTCCTATAAAACAGAGCTCATGACTCTAAGTAATAAAAACTTTACTTTTGTCACAGTCCTTCGGGATTAAATTAGCAAAACGTAAAACTTCCAAAACAAATGTAAGCTTTTAAGCTTGAGAATCCTCTTTATGTTATCTTAGATCTTAAAGGCACATATGGACCATCTGGTTAAAATCATTCTGGTGTGCAGTTTGGATCACTCTTATACAGTGTTCTCCACCTTCTGAATTCTGAGTGGGACTTGTTTAATTTCAGCATCTCTGGCACAGTGGTCACAGGCCCTAAAGCTGCCTTGCCACATGCCTGCCAGCTTGTTATTCCCTTTATCACAACTAGGCTTCCCACTTTTCCCCAGCATGAGTTTGTATCGTTGCTGACATCTCAGGTGGCTTCAGTGAAGCACAAATAACCTTGAGTACGGTGGAAACGTGAGGGGCAGAAACAACTCCAAATGGAGTTAACCTGGTAGAAGTTACTAAACGTTGTGAGTTTGTTTTTTTTCTTGCATAAAGTTAATATTCTCTGAACTAAGATCTTCTTTATGAGTCACTGTTAAAATTATTGCTGCTGTACGTGGGTTATGGTGTGTTCTTTATATGTAGAAATATCTACTCTAAACTCAGGGTGTATCAGGGCTGTGTTTTGAGAAGTCTACACACTACTGAAAGGTAATATTCCATAGTCATAAGATAAATATCAACGTATTTTCGCAAGGGCACACTTGGAACCTCACAGAGCAGAAGCTGATTTGTTCGTAATTACTCTCTGCGAGCGCGGTGGGTGTATAGTTTCCTTACAGCGTGTACACGTGCTGCTCCAAGGAGGACCAGAGCTCAACTTCTGAGTAATCAGAGCATGTTTCCTACTACTTGGTAACTTCTCTCTGATGATCTCTTCTGGTGATTACACAACAGATACCTGTGGCTTGTTTTTTTTTCATCTTTCCACTAAACACATCACACATTCCTTTGAATTTGTCATCTTGGAGTAAGTATCTGTGTTCTGCTTTGAAAGAGCTTAATGATTTTTATTTTTATTTTTTTTCAAACGTATCAGCAAGAATGCAAACAAGGACGGTACATGTTGGAGTAGAATGGGCATGTGGATGCCATTTTGCATTTTATTGAGTGCTTCGTGATTATAAAAATACTGAAATAGTAGTTTTCAGATGTATTTTTTTGAGCAAGTATAACTAAAACTTTACACAGCGAACGTAACTTTTTGCAGCATGCCGAAGTAAGATATTTCCCTTAGAATCGTGCTTTTCTAAGGAGCAGGCAAGAAGAATTTCACATGGGGAACCAGCAGTTAAAGTTGCATTCAATTATACTCAATGAAGCACTGTATAAAATGTCGTGGTTCCTTTTTCTTGAGTTTATTGCTTGTGAGCAGGCTTAATGGGCAAGCGAGATAACACACAAAGAGAGAGACATAAAAGTCAGTATTTTTCTGAGTCATAAATGTGCATACACAAAGACATCACTGACAGTTTTCAAGATTTTTATGTAAATGATTACGTTATGAAAGCTGACACGGGGATGTATGTAGTTTAGACTCTTTCAAGATTAATTAGTGGAAGTTAGAGCACAGAAACGTGAATATTAGCAAAGAAGCAGGACTGATGTGATAAACAGAAAGGCTTAATCTTTACCGCTTGAAAGAAGCTGTGTGTGGGAGATGGTAGTGAGCACTGTAACATTTTTTTATCTTCTTTTTCTATACTGCGTGTATTGAAGAGCTCTGTGTCTAATAATAGAATACATGGTTCCCATTACTCCTGACTTCATGAAATACTATCTTCTAGTGAAACGCTGCTTGTGTTCCTAATGGTGCTTTTATTGTCAAGCCTGAGTTAGTTTTATACTGTTAATTGTAAAGGTATCCTTTAAACCCAAATTCTGCTCTATTTGGGTAGTGTGATTGTAGATATTGAAACGAATTCCTTTTGATTTGGATTTTACACTTACGATAATGCTTCGTGGAATTTTTGTAGCATGTGTTCACTTTAAAAGGTTTTATTTTCTTGCATGGGGAACTAGTTGGATTTATAGATCTATTAAGCAAGGTGAGCTAGATGTATACTATTCTCGGTGATTTTTATATCCCTCAACTTAAAGTGACCTAGTGAGTTTGAAAGTAGCATAAAACTTGAAGCTGATGTCTTAATATTTGATCTGCTGTGATCGTGACCTGTTAACCTTTAGCTTTAATGGCGCTATATAATTCTTCTTAAAAGTTGCAAATGTACTTTACCGTGGGGCTGATTGATGATAAAATACACTTTGCGTAATCACCCCTCTAGAATGTGTGTTGTTTCTAGTAGATATTGATCTTCTGTATTTGTTATCTTACATTTGAGAGAGACCTTTGGTTTCTGATGTAATGTGGGGTTTGTGCAGATAATACGCTCGGCATCTTGATTAGGAGCTACAGAACATACAGTTCTTGAAAGCGCAAAAGCTCGTTTCGTGGTGTAGTTCCCATAAACATAAATTTTAGGGTGTACTAAGGTTATGGTATTGCCCTTGATGACCTGATGGTAAGGAATAGTCAACAGACAATCCTAAGAAAAGGAGAGTACAAAACGGCAAAAAAACTGTTTATGAGAACTGCTTCACTTAAACAGATTCCTAGAACCTATGCATAAAATTACATTCTTTAATGCAGACTGGCAAACACTTTCAATACTTTAGGCACTTAAAGTATTGGTTGTCTGATCTCACACAGCAGTTAAGGTGGAAATAAGCCGTGTTACTTTCTTGTAAGCTATTTGCTATGTCTAGGTATTTAAAATGGTGAAAAATGCTTTATTTATTAAATAGGAGTAATAAACATTAGAAAAATAGTATTTGTGTGGACTGTAGTGGCCTATGATGCTGTGACTGACTTGAGCCTTTGGGGGGTGTGTGAAGCTTGCTGAAAGGCAAGGCATTGCTTGTGTTCTCTAAGTCGTCTTCTGGTGTGTTGGGAAATAAGCCTGCTAAATGAAATTTTTTGATGAAATTTTTCACTCTGAGGGTGGTGAGCCCCTGGCGCAGGTTGCCCCGAGAAGCTGTGGCTGCCCCATCCCTGGAGGTGTTCAAGGCCGGGCTGGACGTGGCCTTGGGCAACCTGGGCTGGTGGGAGGTGTCCCTGCCCATGGCAGGGGGGTTGGTACAGGATGATCTTCCAGGTCCCTTCCAACCCAAACCATTCTGTGATTCTATGATTGGTCTTCTGTGTGTGAAGAGATTTGTACTCTTCCAATCACAAAATACCAATCACAAAATACTAATCACAATCGAACACCTTTCTTAAAAGATTATTTCTATTTGGAAATGAGCTAACCAAACGCAAATGGCTGCGTACAAAGGAGTGAGGTATGATCTGGGTCAACCCTGCACGCTTCTTCAAACATGCTTCACTTAGTGAGAGCAATGTTGCGGCACCGGGAGAGTCATAAAACATTTAAAAACTTGTAAAAAACCGAAAATACTTTAGAAAATGTAATTCATTAGCTGAATTTTGACTTCAGTTTTTAAGAGGCTGGTTGGCTGGAGTTGTGGAGTATTCTTCAGTACATACTGGGAGAGGGTGTCCTGGAAGAAGTCAGTGACGGAAGCTTTTAAATCTTAACCTTCTCAGGAAGGGAGTATGTGTCTTTTTTAAAGTTTACTTAAACATCTGAATAATTTCACCTTAAATGCTTCTTTTTTTTTTTTTTTTCTTTCCCATCAGATTTCCTTTATATCCAAAAGGAGGGGAGAAGCTGCAGTTTGAATATGGAGTATATCTTCTCAACAAAAATATTGCACAGGTTGGTACATTGAGTTGTGTGTGGTTTTGGGGTTTTTTTATGAGCATCTGTGATCTGCTCAGTGTCACTATGGCATGAGTGTGCCTCTACTGTCTTGTGATGGTGTTCGCTGTGGCGAACATCTTGAGAGCTCATGGAGGCGTTCTTCAAATCATTGTCTTAACTTCCCTTACTGCTTTGTGCTCGAGACTTTCTCTTGTGGTGCTTGGAGAAAGACTTGCCAGCTAATAATGAATCTTTGCCATTTTAAATAAATACTATGAGTCTGTACACCTCGTTTTGAAAATTGTAAATGTTTTCTGGTGTTTTTTTTTATTCTGTCATACTTGAAGATCCATTTGTGTCATTCTCATTGCTGCTTTAATTTTGCTGTATTATTACTTTAACTGGCATCGTACTCCTATACTTATGAAGAGAAAACACAACAAGCTGGAAAACCTAGTCTTGCCGATGCATGACTTTAGATATTTATATTTTTTTTTAAAAGTAGTCCTCTAATCATCCTTACTTCTTTGCTCTTAATGTATTTTAAAAATCATCTTTTGGCAAATGCATGAGAGTTCACAAGTTTACAATGAGATGATACTAGTACCTGCTGCGAACTCATTTCGTATGGAAATCAGAAAACATTCAAAAAGCTGGTCTGAAAGGGACCTGGGGAGAACATTTAGACTGTTGCCTGATCCCAGGGCAGGGTCAGCTGCTCTTACACCATCCCTGGTAGATGTTTGTATAACCTTCCCTGAAGGAAAGCCTGTGATGTGAGTAGTCTCTTCCCGTGGTTGGCTGTTGTTAGCCATTAAAGTCTCTTCTGACATCCAATCCCCGTCTGTCTTGCTTCTATTTAACCACATAATCACTTATTATAATAATCTGTTCATTTCATTCTCTTCCTATTTGCAAACCTTTATGCATTGAAAGACAACTTATCCTTTCTAAAGTGTTATCTCATGGGTTATGTCACTTCTGAGTGTTCTTGTCGTCTCCTATTCTCCGTCTGAATCCACATCTTTATTGAAGTGCAGTGCCCACAGCTGGATACACTGTGCAGCTGTTCCCTTCAAAACAGTGAGTAGGATGGGAGAAATGGTTCACAGGTTTTGTCAGTTTTGTTCAGTTTGTTATGTTCTGATAGTTTTGTACAGCCTGACGTGGTGAACTTCATGATTCAGTGCAACCTGCAGCCTCAGGTCTCTTCTGCACAGCAACAAATTAGTCCATGAAATGCTGAATTTGTGCAGGTCACTCGTTTAATTCATGTTTTACTGCTGTACTTCAGATGCCCCTTTTTCTTCTTAATCATGTCTCTGATTTGGTGACGTAACTCTAGAAGATGGAGTAAGGTAGGTTGAGAACTCAATCTCAGCTTTGTGCTGTCTGCATGTGAGCCTATTCTCTGTCCTGGTCACCTAATTACAATACTGAATAGAACTGGGGTAAAGCCTAGACCCAGGTGGAACCCCGCTTCACTAGCACTTCCATTTTACAGCAGTGAACCCTTGTTTAACTACACCTAAAGAGTACTTACTAGCTCTGTACTCATTCATACTTCATCAATATCCCATTTCCCCGGCATGCTTGCGAGCGTATTACACCATAAAGTGCCAAGAGATTTATTTAAATTCCAACAGAAATATGACATTTCAGTTTCTAACCTATTTGTGAGGCTCGAAATTAGAATGGTCTGACAGTTTTATTCTTGAAAAAACTGATCTTTTCTATGCTTAGTTTCTACTTGTTTGTGTTTCCAGTTCTCTCTTCCACCACTTTTTCCCCATTCCCTACCCCAAATTGAAGTAAAGCTTCTGGGTCTTTCTGCGTTGTTTGTTTTTTAAGCTTGGATTGCATTTACCATTTTCCAGACTTCTGGTGTCTTGCCCGTGCTTAGTGTATTTTGGAAGATAACCTCCAACGGCTCTGAAATTACTTAAAGGCTAAAATATCTTAAGATGAAGTTAATCAAGTCCTGCTAATCTTGGAAATTCACTTAACCAAGCTGTTAATATAACTTAGACTGTGACTCTTTGTTGCTGGGATTAATAATGGCAGCCAGCTGTTCACACTTGAATTTCATAGGGAAGACTAGTGAAAGGGATTAAATACTCTTTCCTTCAAATGCTTTGATAGCTTTCTCTCTCCATTGCTATCAAATCAATGCTTTCCTTAATCTCTACTAATGTAAATACATTAGTTCATTCTGTAACTTGTGAGTCGTGATGCCGCTTGCTTTCTTTTTCAGCCTTTCATGTTTTTCCTCCTAATTTGGAGTTTGCCGTTCAGTTACGTGATGCGAAGGCTCTGTGCTTCTTTCTGGATTGAGGGTATGAACTCTTCATTGAGCCCAAGTTGGTAGTCTTTCCAGTCCTTACAGTTAGTTGGAACTTCTCCCTGTAGTATTTTTTTTATAGGAACTGTCACCACTTCACTTGTTTTCCTGTTTTTCCTCTTTTGACTTGTCATCTTCAAGTTGTTACCGCTGTTGGACTTACTGAAATATCTCGTTCTGATTTTGTTCTTGCCCTATTTCAAAATGACTATGAACAGTTGAACACATGGTCACTCACCCATGTTGCCTTCCAAGTCCTTGCAGTTGGTTTCTGAAATCACTGGCATGTCTTTAAACTCATAAAAGTAAATGAAGACTTTAAGTACATATTTGTATAAAAAAGTTTCCAAATTTACATGAGGTCACCGGTGGTGGTACAGGCTAGAAAAGTCAGTGGCCAAACTTTGAAGTGCTTTGTATAACACCAGTGGTTCACATGTTAATGCTTGAGATTGTATGCTGTTGAACATAAAAACATGATAAATGGGAATTTGGGGTGGGCTTCTACTACTTATTTAATCAGGAAAGTGTTACTGAAGTCCATATAAACTGTTGTAGTCACCTTTGTTTTGATATCCTTGGTCAAATATCGCAGCTTTTTATAGTTCTGCCAGGGCGAAATGCCATTGTGAAAGCGGAACAGGTAGATAACACAGAGAAATACATCACAAAACTTCTGTACTCGGGGTCTGACTTGATCTAAAAACCTGTGATTGTTTGGATCCTTTGTGCATTCCTTTGGAGGTTGGAACTGTTGAATTTAAGTAGCTTTTAGAAGATCTTAAGGCTGCTTCGAGAGAAGATTCCAGATATGCTTAGTTCATGTGAATGTGGGAAAATAGTTAAGTTTGGATGAAGAAAGAGCAGCTGCCTCTTTCTTATCTCTAGACCATCCCAACCTGTGAGGGAATCCTTTTAAGGACCAAAGGTGTTGGCCTTAATTCAGAGAACCAGTCCTGCAAATTATTCTGTCATTGATTAGTGCGGTGGTGTTGCTTAATTCCCTCTGGCTGCTGTGGGAAGATTGGAGGTGCCTGGGAGGAACAGTGCTGACTCTACTGGAGTGTTAAGGGAAGAGCTTGGGTCTCCATCGCCTCACTCGAATCGTTCATACAAGTCTTGATCACTGTGGGTAAGAAACAAAGAGCCCAGAAAAACTTGTATCAACTTAAAGAAATACTTGACAGGATTTGTATAAGCTTTCCTGGTTTTGCCGATTTATTTTTATTTTTATCCTTTCACAATTACCTGGAGTTCTGGCAACAAGGAGAAACGTGAGTTGGGGCAGAAGTGAGACTGGGTTGATATTAAGTAAAATTACTGAAATAAAAACTCTTCTAGAGATAAAGTGGTACTGTTTTGTAAAACAGCAGGATAATAACAATGAAAACCACATCTCGCACTCGGGAGAATTCAGCTGGAATTAGAAGCAGCTCAGTGCTAGCTTGGTAGAGCATTTATTTGGAGAAACTTGCTTTGCTGTTACATTCCAAAGTCAAAACAATGTGTGTTAATTCTGAGAGTTCATAATAACTTCCATCTGTACGTGAGCACAAATTGTTTCAATCCCCATATTTTCTATTTGTAATATTGAATCCCTCACGAAGTTCACCGAGTAGCTTTTTATGTTGGATAATATTAGGTAAGACTATAAATTTCCAGTTTGACTCTAACGAACATACAAATGTGTTCTTTTTCTTTTTTTCTTTCAAAGGGAAATTAGGGACTTATGTCTGACAGTATCAACAACAAAAAAAGTCACTGTTGTTCCAGAGCATTGTCAAAGGTAAAGCACAATAAAGCTGCTAAAAATGGGAGTGAATTGCTCAGCTCTCAAAAGCGATAGGCACCAGGAGATGGTTCGGTAGGGAGCTGGCCCCACAAACTCTGCAGCTGTGAAGTTATGGATGTGTGTGGACTATCTAAGGAAGATGAGGCTTTAGTAGGAGAAAGGAATGAACTCTTGCATTGGTTTTCACGGTAGAGGAGTTGAAATTACGCTGGGGAAAACCTCCTGTTACCGTGGATGAATATTAGAAACTCACTGAAGTGCTGTGAGGTTGGTTGTGGGCGGTAAGCAAACGTGGCCTTGGTGAGCTACCATCTCTTGGAGAGTTCTCGTCACTCTGTAACGCGTGTGGCACAGCTCAGCTAGGACACGAGCATGGACCTTGCTAAGCTCAGCTCCCACAAATCCTTGAGCGGTGGTCTTGGTGCTCCAGGTTTTTTCCCCTCAGTGCTTTACGTTTATGGTTTTTTTTAACCTTAGAGTGTGTTGGGAGGAGAGTGCAGTGGCCTTGGGTTGCCAATCTCAGGCCTGTAGAAAGAAAGAAGTTTTATTGCTGCTTTACTGGTTGTTTCGCTTTCTCTCTCCTTCATTCCCAGAGCCTTGATTGCTTGGGCCTGACTTCAGGGTAGGTTCTTCATTCCATATGAAGAGATGATCTTATTTTAGTCACCATCCGTCTTGAGGTGAGTCCTTAGTTAGCATGCACGATGTCACAACCGGAGAATACCTGGCCCAAAGTTGTGTGCAAGATGATAATACAAGGTTTCATAGAATCTCCTAGATTGGAAAAGACCTGTAAGATCATTAACCTACCACTGCCAAGCCCACCACTAAACCATGTCCCTGTGCGCTATATCTACACGACCCTTAAATACCTCCAGGGAT